TTGAAAAATACTCAAATTCAGCATATCATAAATGAGGTGACTTCAAAAACCGTGACAAAATGTCACGATCAGATTAATGTAGAGGTAAGTGATCTAACTAAATCACTAATCCCCAATTCTTCCGATTCGAAAGTTTTCAATGTTAGTGTACCGCCTATCTCTAAACCCATGGAGGATTTACCGGAATCAAAGAAGACCTTATCTGAAAAACAGAATAATCCAGTTCAAGCCCATGCTAATTTCCGCAACAAAACATTGGAGCAATATCCCAATATATTTTATGAATATAGTAATGAAGGTGTCGATTATTATAGAATTAATTCTGAGTCATTATGCCCAATATGCAAGTTAAATCATGAAGATGAAGAAGGTATAGAGGGCAATTATGAAACTGGATCCTATTATATCAAGTGTGAAGCATCCAAAATTGATATGATCCAGTACATTGGCCGTGCTAGCTCTGCTGATGCTGAAATAATTGTATAAGTTTTGTTTATTTGTATTTTCTTGCCAGCTATATATTACTATGCAATAAAGATTGGATCTATATTAATCAAAACATATTTAATATTTTTTTTATGCGGGAACCTAGATTTGTATAAATGATAATTTTTGTCAGCTATTGTTAATTTAAAAAGATGTACAATCATAAAATGTCAACATGAATACGCAAACCAAGACCGATAAAATATTAACTCCTGAATATTTGAAGTGGCATACTAAATTAACTAGTTTACCGAGCATTTTGACAGATAAAATTCACTCCACATTATATAAAAAATATAAGAAAAAAACTGGACTCGATCTTTGGATAAACTCTGAATCCTCACAAATCGAAAATGCTGATAATCATCTTTCACGAGACTGCATCAAGATTTCTAAGTTTCCGGAAGAGAAAGGTATAATTCGTGAAACAGTACATAAACGATTTCCTTTCTTGAGATATATTAAATTGAATGCATGGTATCGAGATGTTTTTAAATATACAGATCCAGAAGCTAAATGTCTGATATGCAATGAAGTACATACACGTTTAGGTATATGGGATGATTGGAGCTGTCTAGGTAAAAATGATCACTATTTTCTTAATTGCCCTTTTCGCATTGATCAAAAGAAAGTTATAATTGTTGTACAAAGTTTGCTGAAAATTCAAGTAAGTGTATCAAACAAAACCCGTAACTCATCAATTCATCCAAACAAAATTCACCTTTATCAATATGCCATCGAATATGGAATGGATCCCGAGAAATTTTCGGTTATTACAGAGGCTGAGAAAAAAAGATGGGATAGAAAATATTTTCGTGAGGACTTGAAGAGGGATATACGGTTCTATCGCGGTGGAATAGAGAGGAAGGAAGATTCTAGAAAATATTGCAAATTTTTAACAGATCGGGAAAGACTAGTTGGTGAAGAATTATTACGTCGTAGTATATTAGAAAGTGGTTTAAGTACTGTATGACTTGATAATCTTATGGAAGAATGGGAAAAAACATATAATCAATTTGTACAAATTTTTAACTAGACACAATACATAAATCAGCGGAGCGGACATAAGGTGCCATTTTCCCGTGATCACATAAGGTTCACAGGTCGAAATCCATATTTCAGGCATATATCAGGGACCAATCGGGTAGCTATCGGGGGGACCAATAGATATCC